CACTGTCAATAGGACAAAACGACAACCAACAAATTGGGAAAAGATCTTTACCAATCCTACATCTGATAGAGGGCTAATATCCAATATATACAAAGAACTCAAGAAATTAGACTCCAGACAACCAAATTACCCTATTAAAAAATGGGGTATAGAGCTTAACAAAGAATTTTCAATGGAAGAAACTCGAATGGCCGAGAAGCACCTAAAGAAATGTTCAGTGTCCTTAGTCATCAGGGAAATGCAAATCAAAACAACTCTGAGATTCCATCTCACACCAATCAGAATGGCTAAGATTAAGAACTCAGGTGATAGTAGATGCTGGCGAGGGTGTGGAGAAAGAGGAACACTCCTCCATTGTTGGTGGGACTGCAAGATGGTGCAACCACTTTGGAAATCAGTGTGGCGGTTCCTCAGAAAATTGGACATAGCATTACCTGAGGATCCAGCTATACCACTCCTAGGCATATACCCAGAAGATGCTCGAACATATAACAAGGACATATGCTCAACTATGTTCATAGCAGGCTTATTTATAATAGCCAGGAGCTGGAAAGAACCCAGATGTCCTTCAACTGAGGAATGGATTCAAAAAATGTGGTATATTTACACAATGGAGTATTACTCAGCTGTTAAAAATAATGAATTCGAGAGGTTCCTAGGTAAATGGATGGAACTAGAAATTATCATCCTGAGTGAAGTAAGCCAATCACAAAAGAACACACATGGTATTTACTCACTGATTATCGGATATTAGCCCAGAACCTTGAAATGCCCAAGATGCAACTCACAGGCCACATGAAGCTCATAAAAAAGGAAGACCAAGTGGGGGTGATTCAGTTCTTCTTAGAAGGAGCAACAAAATACTCAAGGGAGCAAATATGGAGACAAAGTGAGGGACAGAAACTGAAGGAGGGGCCATTTGAAGACCTTTCCACCTGAGTATCCACCCCATATGCAGTCACCAAAGGTAGATGCTGATGTGGAAGTCAGGAAGTACATGCCGATAAGGGCCTGATATGGATGTCTCCTCAGAGGCCTTCAAGAGTCTGACATATTCAGAGGCAGATGCTCACAACTAGCCATTGAACTGATCATGAGGTTCTCAATAGAGGAGTTAGAGTGAGGACTGAAGGAGCTGAAAGGGTTTGTGGCACCATGAGGAGAGCAACAATACCAACCAACCACAGCTCCCAGGGTCCTAACCACCAGCCTGGGAGCACTTATGGAGGGATCCAGGGCTTCAGCTGAATATGTAAGAGTAGAGGGCCCTGCCGGGCACAGGTGGAAGATGAGATCCTTGACCTCATGAAGGCTGGCCCCAGGGGGTGGGAATTTTGAGGGTGGGGAAGTGGGAGTGGGGGTGGGTAGGTGGGGGGTTACATCCACAGAGAAGAAGGAGGAGGGGTAAGGGGATGGGGTGTTCCCGGGTGGGTGGGGGATGGGGTAAGGGGATAACATATGAAATGTAAATAAAATATCCAATAATAAAAAAAAAAGAATTCAAAGTCAGTGCTGGGGACAACAGTTCAGGTGGTAGAGGCTTGCCTGACATTCTTAAAGCACCAAACAAAGTTGAGTGTAGATGCTCATAGTCCCAGCACTCTGAGTAAGAGGACAGGAAGATCAGTCATCCCCAGCAACACGATGAGGTCACAGCCAGCAACATTAATAAAGGAGACTCCATGAAACTGAAGCGTTTCTGTATGGCAAAGGGCACCATTATTCAGGCAAAGACTAGAAAAAGATTTTCTAACTCCACATCTGATAAAGGGCTGATATTTAAAAAATGTAAAGAAATAAAAATAAAAAACCTGGATATCAACAAGAAAATAACACAATTTAAAACTGGGGTATGAATATAAACAGAGAATTCTCAAAAAAGGAAACACAAATGGCCGAGAAGCACTTAAAGAAAAATCTAACATCCTTAGTCATCAGGGAAATGCAAATGGAAACTACTCTGAAATTTCATCTTACACTAATCAGAATGGTTGAGATCAATAAAACAAATGACAGCTTGTTCTGTTGAGGATATGGAGTAAAGGGAACACTTATCCATTGCTGATGGGAGTGCAAACTTGTACAGTCACTATGGAAATCACGGTGGCAGTTTCTTAGGAAGATGGGAATTGATCTACCTCAAGATCCATCTATGTGATTCTCGGGCCTCTACCCAAGGACACTGCATCCTGCTAGAGAGACTTGCGCAACAGTGTTCACTGTTGTTCTATTCGTAATAGCCAGAAACTGGGAACAACCTAGCTGTTTGTCAGTGGAGTAATGGATAAGAAAATGTGTTACATTATACAATGAAATAGTACTCAGCTCTAAATTCAGTAAATAAATAAATAAATAAACAAATAAACAAAACCATGAAATTCACAGAGAAATAGATGGAACCAGAAAAATCATCCTGAGTGAGGTAACTCAGACCCAGAAAGACAAATGTGGTATGTATCCTCTTAATTGTGGTTGATGGCCATTAAATGATTGACAAACAAGCTACAATCACTGTAACCACAGAGGTTGGGTAGAGAGGAAGAGACCACAGGGAGGAAAGGATCTCCCTAGGTAAGGGAACTAGAATAGATAGTTAGGATAGACTTTGGGAGGGACTGGAATATGGGAAGGGACAGCTAAACTAAGGGCCATTTGAGGGGCTGTATGGAAACCTAACACAGTAGAAGCTTTCTATGGTATATACATATACAAAGGCAATCTAAATGACATCACCAAACAATGAGAGAGACAGGAGCCCAACTGGATATCTCTGGTCACCAAAGTAAGTTTCCAATACCAGGATCGGGTTACATCTAATTGAGTTTTTTGCCAAAGGTGACCCATGGGTACTTCTCGACAACTGAGGATATAGGTGGTTCTCCCCAAACTGAGGGTAAAGTAAGGACCCATTGCTGAAGATAACAGCTACAGAACTCAGTGAACTCAGAGGTCAATCTGGTGCCTGTCTACCCTCACCCCTATGGACTAGAAGGTGTTCTGCAGGCTGTGAAAGGAGAAAGGTAAAACCTTTCACAGCTACAAACCCTTCCATGTACAAGTACCCTGCCTGCAAGATGTGCTGAATCTATAACGGTGCAAAACCCGTGGAGAAACCAACTAATATCTGATCTGGGTTAAGGCCCATTCCATGAGACAGAACCCTTACCCAATGCTCCCTTTCGTGGCCAAAAACCTGAGACTAGATAGATAGGCCAGAAACCAAGCGAAAACCAAATGCTACTCTTCTGCTAAAAGAACATAACAATAAAGTGACTCCTAATGACATTCTGTTATACTCATAATCAGTGCCTTGCCTAGCCATCATCTGAGAGGCTTCTTCCTGCAGCAGATGAGACAAATAGAGATACCAACAGTCAAATAATATACAGAGAAGGAGAGACCTTGGAATACTCAGTCTTTAAATGGATGTCTTCATCAAATCCCTCCCCTCTGAGTTCAGGGAACACTGCAGAAGAGGAGACAGAAAGAGTTTAAGAGCCACAGGGGATAGAGGACACCAAAGAATAAGAGCCTTCTACACACAACATACGAGCTCACAGAGATTGTGGTAGAAGGCACAGGCTCTGAATGGGTCTGTCCCAGCTGGGTAAAGAAGTAGACAAATGCCCCATTCCTAACCCAGAAGCTATCTCCAATTGATAGTCACTTAGACTTGAAAAATAAGTTCTCTCCAAGGGAGTCGTACTGGGGAAACAATCTTAAGGTGTGGCCTCGTGCCCAGCAGTAGATGGTCAACATAAATTGAAGTCAGGATCATCTTTGGAGGGTCTTTCATAATGTTGTCAGAGCTTTTGTTGTTGGGCCTCTGCCTATATATACATCATGGCTTCCAGTTTGGAATTTTATGGAATTTCTGTGTGTGCAGATGTGTGTCCACCCATATGCATTTCCTGTGGCTTTTTTTTCTTTTTCTTGTTTGTCTGTTTTGTTGTATTTTGATTTTTAAAATTTACCTTATTTTATTATTCCTTAGATACCCATTTTCTGCTGTGCTGATCCAGATGGGAGGGCAGACGGGGATGAACTGAGAGGAGGGGGGGAGGGGACTGTAATCAGAGTATATTGTGTGAAAACAATCTATTTTGTTTTTTCTTTCTTTTTTTAATCAGATTACATGTTCACATACTTATTTTATACAGATTATATATGCAATATTTTTAATTTGAAATTCTTAATGCTTAAGTTTTAATCAATATAGCACTTTACTAAAGTTTTATAGGGAAAAATCTACCTTCAGTAAAAGAAAATAAATCTTAAAATGTTCTAAGAACTAAGCCTGGTGATGCTATTTTAATCTTTGATAGTGGGGAGGCTGAGCCAGGAGGATGACAAATTTAAAGTCTGCTTGAACTACAGAGTTGGTTAAGACCAGTCTGGGTGACTTGTTGAAACCTTGTCTCAAAAGAAAAAAGAAGGAGGACAAAGGAGAATAGAAAGATAGCAACAGCTGGAAAGAACATTTGCTTCATATGTGGCCAGGCCCTAGGTTCATCTGGTATTGAAAAAAAAAAAAGTAGAAAGGATGAGAAGAGCCCAGGAAACCATCCAAAGAGCTGTGGAACCCTGACTTCCTGACTTCTTAAACTACACACATTAGTAGACTCGTTCAAAATAAAAACTCAAGGAAAATCTAAAAGGAGGACAAAAGTCAGGGGTCTGCAAGGAAGCAACACATCCAGGAGGGTAGAGATGGAGGAAGACACTGATGACGTAGTCCCTAGGTTAGATCAGTGTGTGTGTGTGTGTGTGTGTGTGTGTGTGTGTGTGTGTGTGTGTGTGGTAGAGGCAGAGAGACAGACAGATACAGAGACAGTTGTGCTCGGGGTATGTCCATAAGTGCCTGAAGACTGACAGTACCTACAGGGTCCAGGAAATGGGTGGTAAGTCCACCTGTCTTGGGTCCTCAAGATGCGCTTGCTGGGGGGTGGGGGGAGATGGTGGAAGAAGGGAGTGCTCTTTGAAGACCGGTCTTGACTCACCAGTAGACTTGCAGTGCCTGTGGTCGTCTGACAGCTCATAGCCCGGGGCGCAAGCGCAGCGCCGCCCATTGCTCTCCTCCAGGCAGTAGTGCAAGCAACCGCCATTGTTCACCCGACAGTCCTGGAAGCGCTGCTCTGCGAGACAGAAGAGTGCAGCTCGTGGTGGCCCTACCATTCCAGATCCCATCTCAGCCCACCTTGCTTTTTTGCCGAGGTCCTCTCACCCTGCTGACAGAACCTGCCCTCCCAGCCCTCATTGCAGCTGCAGCTGAAGCTGCCCAGGCCGTCGATGCACGTGCCATGCCCGCAGCATGGGCTGTCGCACTGGTGGTCTAAGGGCGGAGCCGTGCACTGGTCACCGTCTGCGAAAGACAGCGGGATGGGGCAGGAGAAGATGTGGATACCTCCATTCTCCTCTCCAACCTCCACTGACTCCGGAGTAAGCATCAACATCCATTCAGGTGTTCAGAACTCACTCACCGAAGTATTTGGTCCAGAAGGCCAGCTGTTGGGGGGAGAGAGGGTAGAGCGTCAGGCCCAGCCCAGCTACCTAGGGGAAGCCCACAAGGTACTGCCTCATCCTAAATATGAGGTGTCTAGGAGTGGAAAGGGCTTCCAGACAAACATCTGCCATAGTGCTCCTTCCTGCCCACCCTGAAACACCCCTTTCCACACAGCTGGATCTCTGCCCATGGGGTCATCTACTCCCAAAATAACATCCTCAGGGAAAAGTACCTAAATCCCTTACAGGCTATCCTGTCTCCTTCAGCCGTATCATCCCTCCCCTGGCCTTGGATCGTCCAGGCTTGAGACATGGCTTGCTAGCTTAGAACCTGTGTTTCTAACTAGGTCTCAACTAGCTGAGGCCCAGAGTGCCTCAAGGAACAGATATCAAAGAATTTTGATCGGGGCTGGAGAGATGGTTCAGTGGCTAAGAGAACTGGCTGCTCTCCTAGAGGTCCTGAGTTCAGTTCCCAGCAACCACATGGTGGCTCACAACCATCTATAAATGTGGTCGGATGCCTCTTCTGGCATGCAGGTGTACATGCAGATAGAGGACTCATATACATAAAATAAAAATTTTAAAAGTATTTTTAAAAAAGAGTATTGATCACTCTCCCCCACCCCCAAACATTAGATATAGGTCACTGTGGAGGAGAGGAAAGTCACCTGGTCACGTGGTGGAGAGACAGAGACGGGCAATAGTGGCCCCTGGAGGGCTGCCTAGACTCTTTTCCCTGGTTCAGTTCCTACAGTGTCCTGTGCCCTGACCAGGCCCTTAAATAATATCAGCATCCACATGACAAGCCAACTCTTATGACTCCAAAAAGGGCCTCAATGGCAGTAGTCATGCCTACTGCTCCTCTAGGTCCCATCCAGCCACCAGCCCACCCTCTGCTCTCAGCTTTGTGACCTTACTGTATCGTCCACATTTTGGAAAACCTCCTGGGCCTCCTCGAAGTCACAGATCTCCTCCATACACTCCCGTTCCAGGCTGCCTTGCCACATCTCCTCCAGGAAGCTGTTGGCACGTCTGACCCGAAGCACCTGGTGGGCATGCTTGCTGCTGGAGAACACTGGGCCTGGTTTGGGATGGGAGTCAATGTGGTGGCCAAGTGGGGCCAAGAGGGATTGGAAGAGCCCCAGCTAGAGAGAGCCTAGGAAGACCTCACTCTGACCCCTCTGCTCTTATTCTAGTTCCCAGGAGGGATGTTATGCCCTGCTTTTATGCTCTGATCCCAGGTCCCCCTGGGAGAACAGCAGTCTGGATCTTGCAGAGTATGAGCTCTGAAACAGACAGACAGACTTCCTTTCAGGACATGCCTGGAATACTCAACAAGGTGTCTCGTGCAGAACGAAGTGCTTAGAGGCAGTGCCAGATCCTGCTGCTGCTGTGAAAACTGCGAAGTTGTATATGTGCATGAAAATAGCCTCACACAGTGTTGTCTAATAATAAATAAATAGCAATAAAAGAATAAGACTGCCAACTGGAATCTGTCTTACAGTCTCCTAGCATAGCTGAGCGAGCCCTTCCTGCCTCCCTCCTTCATTTCCCATGGCCTCTCATACAGTCCCCCTGAGCAGGGGGAGAACAGGTGGAGAACAGAAAGCTATCACTTTGGTGTCTCCTCAGCTCTCAGAGACACCTGTCAGGTAGGAGAACAGCTAAGAGTGTTCAGAAGGGTGCATGAGGAAGGTGTACTCACCTGAGCCGAGGCTGCAGAGAGCTGGTGGGCGGGGCAGACTAGGTAAGGGCTTGTTAGGGAGATGGGGCAATAAAGAAGAGAACAGCTCAGGAGGTAGCTGGGGCACCTCTAGAGAGGCCATTTGTGCCTGTGCCTCGGAAAGCCCGGTAGAGGCTCTGAGGGTCTTGTGATGATGGAGAGACAGTCTTACCAGGATGGGCTGGTGTGCCGGAAATTCCCCAGGTGGACAAGAACAGCAGGAAGATTCTGAAGTGCCACATCCTGGAACTGCTGACACCTGTCTGAGGAGAACTTCTAAGCTCCAAGGATACACACAGCTGAGCTGCTCCCCACCCCACCTCCAGGTCCCCCAAAAGTAGAATGAAATGGCCATCTCTGAGCAGGGGAGATATCTTAGTCAATAAAGCACTTTTCATGCATACTTGAAGACTTAAGTCTGATCCTCAGAACCCATATAAAATTAAAATAAAAATGTAGTTGTCTGAGGCATGTTCTTGTGATCCCAGATCCAGGGAGGCAGGGATAAGCAGATGCTTGAGGATTGCTGGCCGGCCACCGGCCGCCAGCTGCCGCCCTTGCCTGCTTGACCAGCTCCAGGTGACCAGCTCCAGGCCATTAGGAGGCCCTGCCTCAAAAAACAAGGTATATAGCTCCTGAAGAAAATGTCTGAGGTTGATCTCTTTACACACACACACACACACACACACACACACCCCAAAAAAGAAAGGAAGGAAGGAAAGGACATGTTTGTGAGCTCGTTGTCTGTGTGGAAACTGGGTCTGGAGTGGGGTACACTGTTCACAGACAGATAGTCTAGTGGCCTTCAGAGCTAGGCTGACTCTAGGTACCTGAAAGCAGAAAAGTCACTGCCTGGGGCAAATTCCATTTCCTACTGGAGAGCAAGAGAGCAGGAGAGAGAAAGAGAGAGCAAGAGAGAGCAAGAGAGAGCAAGAGAGAGCGAGAGCGAGAGCGAGAGCGAGAGCGAGAGCGAGAGCGAGAGAGAGAGAGAGAGAGAGAACAGTATTAAGCAAGCTGTTTACCTGTTCCGTGCCTCAGTTCTGCCATTTGTAAAATGAATAGAATATGTTTCTTCCATAAGAGTTGTTGGAATACATGGAATACAAATAGTAAAAATATAAAAAGCTCTTTCCTGTGTGCACAAGTTTGTACACATGTGGAGACCAGGGGCAATTTGACTGCCCTTCACCCTTCCCCAGGCATTCATTGTCTGATTTTTTTTCCTCCAGGTTTTTTTTTTTTCTAGATGGTCTTGGCTATTTTGGCTATCCTGGAACTTCTATGTAGACCAGGCTGTCCTTAAACTCACAGGGATCCACCTGCCTCTGTCTCTTGAATACTAGATCTAAAGGGGTATGCCATCATGCCTGGTTTCCAACCTTATTTTTTGAGACAAGGTCTCTCTCTCACTGTCTGGAACTTATCGAGTAGGCTGGCTAGCCAGCAAGCCCAAGGGATCCATTGTTTCTGCTCTCCAGCACTAGGATTGAAAGTGTGTGCCACCACACATTGCTTTAAAACAAACAAACAAACAAACAAACAGCAAACAAACAAACCATATGTTCTAGGAATCAAACCCAGGGTCTTACACTCACAAGGCAAGCACTTTTTCAGCTGAGCCATCTTCCCAACCTCTCCAACCCCTCTCCCAAGCTGTTAAACGAACAAGATACTGGAGAGTTGCAGTTGAATAGGAGAGAACATACTTAGCATGTTTAAGGTTCTGGGTTCAATCCCAAACACCAGAAAACACACACACACACACACACACACACACACATCCTCATCAGTCACCATTCACTTTTACAAGAGGTAGGCATTAATGTTCTCACCCCCGTTTCATGGGAAGGGACCCAGAAGCTTGGAGGAAAGAAACTGCCTGTTACAAGCCAACACCTAAGAGGAGGGCAGACGTTGGCTTCAAGGCCAAGCCTATGTGGCCCTAACCCTGGAACCCCTGCCCCCAACCAATGGTCAACCCACAAGGCCTCTAGTGTCCCCCAGACCAGGTGGGCAGGCCTGCCTATCCCAGCTGCACAGTCCCTCCTGGCCTCGCTCTCCTGCTTTGCTGGCTTCAGGAGTTGTATATTCCACCTTACAGAACATGGTAGAGGGGAGTCATGGGGTTCTGGGTTTGAAGATGACTCTAGATCATGGGGAACCCCTTGGCTGACGTCCAGTTGATCCACATGATCTCACGTGTCGAGAGGGCCATCTGGATAACCGGGAACCCATGCCTTGGTCTAGAGTTTGGGTCCTTGTTTTCCGTGGCCTCAAGCTTCAGTCAGCCTGGAGAACCTTAGCTAAAGGATTTCACCTTCCTCCCAGCTGGAATCTCCTCCCTACCTCTTCCTCACAGCCCTCTTCTGTGTTGCCTTGAGGGGGACTTACAGGGGTGGACCAAGGAGAAACTGCAATTTCTTCCAGGTACCGCCATGTCAGTCTGGGAGTCAGGTTAATCCATAACCACAAATATTTGCTTAGCCCTTGGTGCTGAACCTCCCTCTCCCCAGACAAACAAACAAGAGGTTTTCTGATCCCAGCTCTGGAAGGCTCCATGTGCCCAATGTTCACCTCTGCCTACTCAAGAAGTTGTCTATCAGAAAGTGGGGAGAAAGAGAGGGTTGAGCCTGTTCGAACTTATTGGCAAATGTGGTTTCATTTTAGCCCTCAGTGACTGAGGGATGGGAAACTTAAAAGAAAAAAAAAAACAGACAATAGCAACCACAGATAGTATAGCTTGTTCATGGGCAGCACACTTGAAAATAATTACAGATATCACCAATCTAGGATGCCATTAGTGATAAGATGCTCTTACTGTCCCCTCTATTTTACAGGAGGGGACTCTCAGAAGTCTTTGTTACTTGTCCAAATTGATGGAGTTGCTGGGAGGCAGGCCTGTACTAGAACAAGGCTCCTGGCTCAGCTGGGCACTTTGTGAGCTAGTGAACGAATGGATTAACTCTGGGAAAACTGCTAGAAGCTCCAGCTGAGAAGTCTGGAAAGGAGCGAGGCAGACCTAGTAGCCTTTGACGTGTTCTGCAAGCTGGCAGGGTTCCCTAAGTGCCCTCCTTCCTTCCTTGACACTAGCCGTACCAGGAAACTACCATCTTTTCCCTGCCCTAGAGCTCTTGTTAGCCCCACTGCTCCATAAAGTCCTAGCTCTGAATGGGAGCTCAGCTCCAAGTGCTTCATCTGTCTTGGGCACAGGAGCAAAGTCTTTGACCCAGGGAGCCAATCAGATTTTCCATCTCGATACCTAGGAATAAGATCTTAGTAAACTGATCAGGTGTGCGGCTGTATTCAGAAAATTGAAGAGGGGGAGGGGAGAAAGGTGACACAGACACCCAAGTGTCACCCACACACACACCACCACCACCACCACTGGAGGTGAAGTGGGAGGATCCCAAGACAGGAAGTAGGAAAGTACTGGGATGGGAGGCTAGATGGAGTGTGAGGTACTTAGGAATAAACGTGTGGGAAGTGGAGAGCCGGTCGCTGTCTGAGCGGCTGTGGTAGCTGCCTAGAGAAGGGACACTGAGTTCCTGGTCGCTCAGGTATTAAAGGCCAAATGCCGCACAAGTGTCTGCTTGTGCACCCTGGAGAACTTTGTTTTGTTTCTATGCAATGGCTCTACCCAACTTTGCATGAACTTGTGAAATAAGTGCTTGCTTCAGGTGTTCTTGCTCCCCTACAAGTCGTCTGCCGCCTTTCTCCTACCCTCCCCAACACCAGAGGATGGCCAGTGGAGGCGCGGCTTCCCTTTGCTTCCACTACTTCCGACTTCGTTCAAAAGGTCAACTCTCTGGCAAGCCTGACAGGAGGTACATGCTGACCCCAACCTGCATGATGGACTCTGCCCGAGGCAGCAATGTCCAAACCCTGAATGAAGCTTGGGGATTGCAGTGCTGATGTGTTCACTGCCGGGGAGTCATGCAGGCCTGGCAGGCTGCCTGCAGGAGATCCTTACACTTCCTCAGCAGAGCCCTTTTAGACCTTGTGGGGACTCTGCATGGTGCTCTGTGCTAGCAGCCAGCGGCATGTCAAGGACCTTGAGCCTTTGTGTGTGTGTGTGTGGGGGGGGGTGTCTGGCAGGGAACGGTACACCACCCTACTGCAGCCTCTGATCCTCCTTGCTGAGAGTGTCTCATGCGCGCAGCCATGTCCAGCCAGGTCTACTACAAATATCGCAGCAGAACTTTGCGGGGTGGGGGTTGGGGGGAGGAAGGCAAGCCACTTGTGATTTCCAGAGCAGACCCTTGAACTCATCTTATAGGAAGAAAGACATGCTAAGGAAAAGGAAAAATTTGAAAGTCGGTGAGAGATACTGTGGTCTGAAACTTCTCAGCTCAGGATCAGAATTCCACAATGTTAAATGCCCGGCCCCTGACTGCCATGACCTGATTTCTACCCTGTGGTATATGGCATAAGTGGACTTCCTAAGAAACACCATTTTCACTTGCCGCCATTGCTTCTGCTGGTCCCTTCTTCTTATTGCTGAGTTGCTTCATGGCATGACTGCAGCTCAGTTCACTATCCATTTACTAGTTCTTGGCTCCTATTAAATACAGATGCCAGAACACTAGTGTGTAGGGTTTGGGGGAGGCATATATTTTCATTTCTCTTAGGTAAATATCTAGGAAAGGGTTTAATGAATCATGCAGTGATTTCATGTTTACCATTCACACCATATATGAAAGGTCAAAATGTTTTCCAGATGGCTATGCAAAAATATGCATGCCCACCATGATACACAGCTGGTCTACTTAGCTTTTATTTTCATTAGATGTTGTCATTTGTTTTTATTTTTTATTTCATTATTTTTATTGAGTGCATGTGTGCACAAATGCATGTGTGTAGAAGCCAGAGGACAGCCTCGACCAACAGAAGACAACATGGGTACAGTTCATATTATATGTATGTATGTATGTATGTATATGTATACACACACACACATATATATGGAGAGAGAGAGAGAGAGAGAGAGAGAGAGAGAGAGAGAGAGAAAGACAGGGTTTTTCTTCACTGGCTTAGAATTTTGACTAGGCTGACTGGCTATGACTGGCTAGTGAACCCTGTAAATCTGCTTGTCTCTACATTGACAGCTCAGGGATAGAATATGCGTGCCACCCCACCCACCCAGTTTTATATCAGATCATCATGCTTGCAAAGCAAGTCCTTTACTAACTGAGCCATCTCCCCAGCTCCAATATGCAATGAAATATTTTCTCAAAAATCCCCCCAAACTGGGTTGGAGAGATGGCTCAGCAGTTAAGAACAAAGGTTTAACTCCCAGCACCCACAAGGTGGTTCACAGCCATCGGTAACTCCAGTTTTATGGGACCCGAGGCCCCTTCTGGTCATCACTGGTACTGCATCCATGTGATGCATATGCATGCATGCAAGCTAAACATCTATACACTTAATATTAAAATACACATTAATTTAACACTCAACAAACAAGCAACAATAACAAAAAGCTATATCTGAAGTTGCCTGAAGGAAGGAAGGCATGCACATGGTGGGTACCCCAGTCCTTTATGCTGTAGACCTCATTCCGGTTAGATCCTCCTAAAGGTTGCACAAATAAGGAAACATCTCCTATCTCAAGACTTTTGATTGAATACATTAAGTTTCTATCATAACTTTAATGAAACTGTAGACTGAGGTAATAAAGATGGAAACTTGTCCAGGCGCCAATGAGAGACAGCTAGTCCATCTATGTGCATACGTGGCAAATTCCACCCTACCTACGATCTTCTTAGTAAAGAAAATAGAAAGGTGTGAGCCAGTGTGTGTGGCCCACCTTAGACACAGCTCTGCTGACAGGCATCAAGGACACGGGTGGGCTTTGACTCCTGCAGATAAAGAAGACGTCCAGAAATGGAAGGGTTAAGTTGTTTCCAGCTGCCTCAGGACATGTAGAAGTATTTAATGTGGTCTTCAAGTTTCAGAAAGGGAAGAGAACAGCTTTAAAACATATTCTTTAAACATATCCCCTTTAAACATATCCTTCAAGGTGGGCTTCACTATTGTAACACCAAGAAGTCTTCTTCTCCATCTTCCCCCTCTTCTTTCCTTCTAGTCTCTTTGTCTCTCTCATGATTTCTCTTTCCTTTATGTAAACTGTGTTAGAGGTAGGATCTCTGAGGTGTGACTGGGTCATCAGGGCTCTGCTTCCAAGAAGCAACAAATGAAGGGATTGCTGAGAGACAAGCTTTGTCATATAAGTGAGCCTTTCCCAGCACGATTGCTCTGTCTGGCCACATTACAGTGCAGCATGAGCTTCCCACCAAATGTTGGCACTGTACTCTGGGACTTACCAACTGCCAGAACATCAGATTGTGATGGTTAACATTGGTTTTCAATGCAACAGGGCCTGACAAACTCTATAAGACAAACTCTAGGCATGTCTATGAAGGAGTTTCTAGACGAGGTTAACCGGGATGGGAAGATCCATCCTGAGCATGTGCCGCTGCTCTGCGGCCTGTGACCTGGACTGAGTAGGAGAAGGAAGTGAGCTGAGCACCAGCACTCATCTCTTTGCTTCCTAGCTGTGGGTGCAGTGTGACCACTGGTTCCGGCTCTTGCTGCCATGCCTTCCCTACCGTGATGGACTGTACCCTCAAAACGGAGCAAGAAGGACTGGAGAGACATAGCTCAGTGGTTAGAAGCACTGGCTGCTCCTGCAGAGGACAGGAGTTTGATTCCCAGCACCAACATGGTGGCTCATAGCCATCTGTAATTCCAGCTCCAAGGAATCTGATAATGTCTTCAGGCACCAGTGACTCAAGAAAGGGATGCACAGTCATGCATGCAAGCAAAATACACATACACATAAAATAAGATAACAAAAACTTTTAAAAATGTTGAACCAAAATGAGTCTTTTTTTCTTTAAGTTGTGACCTAGAGTTTTAATGCTGTGAAGAGACACCATGACCAAGGCAACTCTTACAAAGAAAAACATTTAAATTGGGCTGGCTTACCCTTTCAGAGGTTTAGTTCTTTATCATCATGGCATGTAGTGAACATTTTGGTTTCTTTAAAACCTCAGTTACGTTATATGATTGTGCTTTTGTTTTAATCCCAGGTATGGGATATAGGGCTGCTTCAGATTGTACACAGACACTAACTATGATTTGTCTTGTGCTCTAGGAGGGGTGTGATTTTTTTGTCAGCAGCAGATAGTTTACATTTGGAAGTCTGGGGACTCTTGAGAGGATATAAATGGGAGAACTCTGAGAGGGCCTGAGGCAGCTGCTGCTGCTCCTGCTGCTGGTGGTTTCTGCTGTTGAGTTTGCTGCTTTTGCTATTGCTGGGTTGTTGGGTTGCTGGGTGGCTGGGTGGCTGGGTGGCTGGGTGGCTGGGTGG